CTGCTATTGCCAGGACAGTGCCTGGCAAAAGTATTCAAGAAATAGTCGCTAAATGAATATATTCAGCATCTACTATGGGCCAATACTGTGCTATATGCCGGAATACAATGGTGAGCAAGACAGATATGCTTCATTAAAAGCATGCAAGTGCCACCTCCTCACCTCTCCCATACTCACCTCAATGAAAGACAAGATCCCAGAGAATGAGACGTCCATCCCCTTTACAGTGTATGGCAGCTCAACTAGCTTCTTGCCTCTATGTGGGAGTGAGTATATGAGGCACTAAGCTTGTAGTTAGCTGGCTGCTCACCCTTCAAAGCCCCTCCCAAACCGCATTAATACATATATATAGGGAAATCTCTGAAGCCCCACCAGTCAGCCTCCTTCTACCTAATGTCCCCTTACCGCTTTGCCATCTGTTCAATGTTGTAGCCTGGACTTGGGTCATTGGAAATCTAGCAGATAGGAAAAGAGGATGAAGTCGAATATTTAGGAAGCATAATAAACTAATTTACTACTTTCTCCCTCCATTTCCATGGCTCCACAGAAATTAATCCACATCTTATGTTCTCTGCAACCTAAAGGCTTACCTTTAGCACTCTTGCAAAACGATCCAGACAATTACCCACAGCAATATCGATGGTTTCCCCAAAGATGCGGTAACGACGTTTGGAATACGCAATCACCTAAGGGTGATGAGGATGTCCATGAAACCTCTAGTCTGTAAAGAGGAGTACTTGGCTTTGGGGAAGAATATAGCAGAGGGTCAACATGGCCACTAGAACATCCCAACAGGAAGGAAAAAAGTACTCTGCCCAACCCTGAGTGGATATTTTTATAGGTCTTATCTGAGAAGAAGCTCACATATACCTTGAGGATTCCCAGAGCAGATTCCTAATCTACAGAAGATAGCCTAGATTAGGGCAGAAGCAAACTGTCATTTTAAATACATTTTTCTAGCTTGGAGATTCCTGATATAGTCCCTTAAAATCGGTCTTGACAGTGTTTGGAGGAAGGGAACCAGGGTCCTTTTAGAATATCTTACGAGGGCAGTGGTGTTTGTAAACAAGAGAAGAGGTAGAGTTGAAAAACTAAAAAAAAAAAAATCCCATTTTTGGGTCAGACTAATGGTCCACCCAACTCAGCACTGGCAATCAACTTGAAGTTCTAGCACAGAGAATATGTATCATCCACTGACACATATGTCCCATACTTCTGATAATGAGTGCTTCCTAGGGACCACAGAAGTCCCTTTCCCTTCCTGGTGCTGCTAGGGTTTTCTGATGTAGCTCTTACACTGTTGTGAAAAGGCTGATGACAAAAGTGGAAGGAAAAACTCCTGTCTTTCTTCTATCATCTACTCCTCTCCACCCAATCATCTTCCCTGTTGTTTACACTAAAGCAGGCTTCAAAAGAGAAGAGGAAAGGAGAAGACTCCATCACTGCTCCTCTTAACTCTTGTAAGCCTCCACTGCCACATTCCATACTCCAAGTCTCTCTAACTTTGTATGCCATCTTTCAGGCTTCAACTAGCTACCTGCCCTCTACCTGTTAAAAGTTCCCACATTGTTTTCATGGGAATGTGTGCTTCGTCTTCAATAACTATATCACACAATGAAGTTTTAGAACATAACCCTTTCATAGGCAGGGGACAATGACTATTTCCGGCAATAACTCCACCATGTGTTCTATGGGAAAGGAAGGCTAACATTCTCTAATCCCAACCTAAAAAGGTCTTATATGGTATCCCAAACAACTATGGGTTCACCTAGAAATTTAAAATACCTACTATTACTTACAGAGTGTTTTAAAAATTATTTACATTTTCACACTCTTAGAATAAAAACTTCTATGTATTTATCACAAGTAATGTAAAACAAACATGTTATTACTGTAAAGAAATAAACTGGGTAGTACCCCTTAGTTGTAATTGCTAAGATTCATAGAAAAAATAAGCTTCAAAATAATTAAAGTGCAAATGATTTCATTATTTTGAAGGCTTCGATCCTTACCATTCTTACATTTTCTAAATTGGAAACTCCTCATTTTTATAACTACATACATAAAAGACATTTAATGTTCTGATCATCATGCTCAAATCTGCAATGTTACAAACTTTGTTGTGGATTTTCTAGTGTATCACATTTTAGTTAGGATGAGCCCAGCACTGTTCTTGTAGTTTTTGCAATTCAGGTAGAACGTGAAAATTGCCAGTATGGTGCCTTAGAAATTAAGAAGGAATGGTGGAGTACTCTTAATACCTGTGTATTGCCTCCGCTCACATAAAGCACAGTTGGGCTGGTGGCTCCAGTGATGAGGCGGCCCATCTCAATGTGGCCTATACAGTGGTTCACACCCACCAATGGTTTATCCCACAGTTGGGCCACAGTACGGGCCACAATAGCCACAGAAACCAGTGGGGCACCCATGCCAGGGCCTAAGGAAATAGAAATGGGAGTTAGAATTCTATAGAGATTGGAAAAAACAGAGCTGGGGGAAGTAGGGGACGTGAGAGGTGGGGTCAGGTTAGTGATGGTAGCAGAGGCAAGTTGCAGGCCATTTTGACATAGCCAAGATCCAAGTATATTCTTCCATTGCCAACCACTCACCGAGCCATACCTTTGGTATAGGCAATGCAGTCAATATCCTGGTAGGTTAATCCAGACTCGGTTAGTGCCTCCTGAAGTAGGTCCAAGATAACAGCTCGGTGGTGCCTGGCCGTATCACTTGGAAGAAATCCTAAAAGACGAACACAGGGTTTTTCTGTAGCAAAGGTAGGTAGTTTTCTAGTAGTATAGGGAGAGTACTTTTCATTCTTAAGCATTTTGTCTTTCAGGTGCTCAGATACATTATTTCCAGCCTGTTCAGAAGGCTGAAGAGTCCCTCAGAAATGCCCTTCTTCATACCCACCATTTCAGTCTTCAGGACTCAAGGCAAGTGATACTTACCTCCTACATACCCTTTGGTGATATTTTCTGTGACCCTAACAAACCCTGTGTGTGATCACATCACTGTATTTAACATGCTATATATAACTATATCTAGTACTTTTGTCATAAGCTTCTTTGCTGTAAATTCTTTGCTGTAAGCATTTCCTCCACAAGCATTTTTCATAGCACAACTAAGTGGCCTTAAGGCAATTTCACAGTAAAAGATAAAATAATGGGAAATAAAACAAGGATGTTGAAATATGAAAAATTAACAAAACTTTAAAAAACTTGTGAAAAATGAAAATACATTGTCTCGAGGTCTTTCGTTCATACTATTTTTTTTTTGTTGATTCATCTCCCTGATCGGCATCACCTTTCCTTTTTCGCTATAATTTCTTCCTTTAGTAAAAGAGGTATCAATTTCAACTAAAAAATTGATAATTAATGCTCTCAAAGACTGTTGTGAATTAGTAGCCACCTCTTTCGTATTTGCCATAGCTTGGTAAGCTTTTGGTTTTGACGAATGAGAGGGAAGACTGTGCTCATGGAAGGATTTGCAAACTGATATGTTACTATTATCTAGTATAGCATGTAATCTGGCTTTATACATAGTTGTTATCATCCACTATTTCAGACCAACACGTCTACTCATCACTGTAGGAACTATGATGAGAGCTATTATTTACATAATATAAAAATGGGAGTAATTGCAAGAACTTCCTCAGTGGAGAAATGAAACCAAACTGTGAACTAGCTTATTAAATACATTAAGTCTGCCTAATGTAAAGCAAATTGTCAACCAGTTATTTTACCTTTTACAGTGAAATTGCCTTATAATTAGAAAATGTATGCGGCAAAAATACCTAGAACCGTATTTAATATGTAACAATTATAGCATAAAATTATCTGTAGTTTTCCCAGTTTAACCATGAGCATCTCAAGACACTGGCTATTTCATTCATCTTTGTATTCCTGGTGCCAAAATGCTAAACATACATATATTTCTAATGAGTAACTTGTCAAAACGTCACTTGTCCAAGGAGGCTTTTCGGGTATATGCAAATCAACTGTCCACTCACACAGGTGTTTTAGGGGATGGTAGGCAAGATATAACATCATAACTTACACATAACATTTATTAAAAGTTGTAATGTGTTTAATAGTTTAATTATCAAGTTCAATGATGCAGGTATTATTATTATTCTCATTTTAAAAGTAAAGTCCAAAAACAAACACTGAGTGAGTACTGCAAAGCCAGCCAGGTCTAACACCTAAGCTGGGAGTCTTTATACTGCTCATTCTAGAATATTTTGATTGTATCTGTTATTTATCATGCTATGAAGTTCTGTTTACACGTCCAACTCCATAGCAGGCTCATATCTATTTTTATATCCAGCTGACGATTAGCACATAAGAAAATCAATAAAACTGAATTTTTCATATTTTCATTCCATGAAAGCTGAACGAACCCTGAAGATCCAAGTTTAAGTGTCTGTGACTCTTCTATCCATCAGCCTTGTGACGTTAATACTGCCACATAATTTCAGAGACTCGGATCAAAAACTCTATGAGAGGTAATGCGCTTCTACTTCACTAGTGTTTAGGAAGATAGAAGGTGATGCTGTGTGGAGACGTGCACTTCAAACTATAAGTTTCCTACTCACCTGTGCCCGGAGGCGTGATATAAGTCCGCCGCGGATTCGCCAGCACTACACCATCCCGTACCACTCCCACGCCAACCTTGTTGGCGCTGCCTTCAAAACCCAGTACCGTCGGCATGGCCGAAGCTGGGAGTAAACACCGGCAGGGCTCCTAGCTACCACTGCAGCCGTGGAACCCTCACCAGTCTGCGCTGAGCCGCAGGCATCCGAGCGCAAAAGATGACGTCGAGCCAGTAACTGTTAAGTGGGCAGCGCGCAGCAAGACAAATACCGAACTCCAGCGCTCGCTGCGCCTGCGCCGGCCCCGCCCCCGTCGTCATGGCGACCGGTCAAGGCCCCCGTCAAGGACCTGTCCTCCTAACTGCCAGGGACGCTGACCCGACATCTGCTCATTACATTCCTTCGGTTCCTCTCCTTCTATCCGATGGTCCAGCCCAGCCTTCTCCACTGACTTTTTTCCCTCTTGCACAGCGTTGGGATCTTCGGTCAGGGTGGCAGCAGGAGACTTGTATATGGCACACCGATAAACAGTCCGAGAATGGAGAGATGGGGCCTTTAGTCCCCTAGAGGCATTGGAGAAGGGAGAGATGGCCGAGGTTCTCCGTCACGTGGTGCCAGACAGACTAATCACCGGCAGTCCTCCGCCATGCGGTGAATATCTCAGGTCATGTGACCACGCCAGTTACCCACGTGGGGGCACAGTGTGGTGTTCTTTGTGCTCGGGTAAGGAGGAGGCAGGCTGGGACTCAAGCGGGTCAGATACAGGATTGCTGTTCTTTTGCCCATCAGAGGGGGCCTCTCTGGACATCCGATCGGCTAGCTTTAACCGGGACCTTTAGTTAAGGCTCTCGATTGGCCTGAGGAGAGATCTCGCGAGGAGGGCACACGGCACTGTGAAATGATTGTGTTGTGGGTGAGGGGCTGAAGGGCCTATGGTGCTCGGAGGCGGGGAAAAGATTCAGAGATAATAACAGGCCGCGCGAGGGGGGAGTCTTTTCTACAGCATTAGCTGGTTTCACCGCTTATTTGTGTCTGTAGGCAACGCGATAAAAATACTGCTTCGCTGGGCGACGTGGTGCAGGAGGGCGTTCGTTACAGTGATGCCGAAGCGTGGGAAAAAGGGAGCGGTGGCAGAAGACGGGGTAGAGCCCAAGACTGGTAAGAGAATAAATGAGCTCCTTTCTCTAGAGGTTGCGATGGGGGTGCTTCTAATTTCATGGATAAACGGGAAGTAAGGACCGACGCACTGCGCTTTTGCAGCTTGTGAAAAAGTAGCGGCAACTATAGGCTCTCGGTGAGTTTATAGTTAACTCCGGGTGAAAGTTGGATACCGTCAACTTTTATTATTGTGTATTACTTATTTTATAGAGCCAGAGGCCAAGAAGAGTAAAGTGGGAGTAGGAGCAAAGAAAAACGAAAAAGAGGCAGCAGGAGAGGGGCCAGCCCTGTATGAGGACCCCCCAGATCAGAAAACCTCACCCAGTGGCAAATCAGCCACACTCAAGATCTGCTCCTGGAATGTGGATGGACTTCGAGCCTGGATTAAGAAGAAAGGTTTAGATGTGAGTGGAATTCAAGGAGGGGAAGAGACATTCTTTAGTATTGAATGATCTTGAGGTTTAATCACCTTTTCACATTTTAGTCTCCAGCTTGTGTGGGGGAGTTTATCCTTGGTAGTTTTCTAGTGGATGTACAAGGAGGGGCTTCACCAAGTCATATCAACTGTTTCCTGCGTAACTATTCCTTCAATTCTTTTGCCATTGTCTTAAATGTTTAATGTTTTCATCTCTTTCTCAGCAAGTTGAAAAAACCTTGTTACTGAACTTATTCCATTTTATCTCCAACATATTCTCTATTTAAATAACTATGTTAACACAATGCAGTATAAAGATGATGTATTATAGAAACATAATCCTATTAACCAATGTCACCTCAATACATTTAATAAAACTTTAGAAATATCTAATGCTCAAAAAGTCTTAGCTATCCACTATCTATAGGAAAAAAACAAAAACACAGTCTCCTCAGTGTTGCACTAAGTCTTATGGCCTTCCATTAGTTACCACTTATAACTGTTTAAATACCGTGTTGCTAGACTGTACACACTTTATGCACAGGGACTGTTTCACCTGTGTATATCTAGTATTTGGCACAGATGCTTCAATGTCTGCTGAATTGATACTACTTTTTATACATTTTATTTCACAGTGGGTAAAGGAAGAAGCCCCAGATATCCTGTGCCTGCAAGAGACCAAATGTTCAGAGAATAAACTACCGGCTGAACTTCAAGATCTGCCTGGTCTATCCCATCAGTACTGGTCAGCTCCTTCAGACAAGGAAGGGTACAGTGGTGTGGGCCTACTCTCCCGCCAGTGCCCACTCAAAGTCTCCTATGGCATTGGTGAGACCCTTGATTCCTTATGCCCGAGGTCTTCAAAACCAATAGCTTATACCCTACCCCTGCCTCAATTCTTGATTCCTTTCTTCCCTCTTTTTTCTTATACTTAAAGCTGTTACTGTTTTATCATTTTTGTAGGTGAAGAGGAACATGACCAGGAAGGCCGAGTGATTGTGGCTGAATTTGATGCATTTGTGCTGGTAACAGCCTATGTACCTAATGCGGGCCGAGGTCTGGTGCGCCTTGAGTACCGGCAGCGCTGGGATGAAGCCTTTCGCAGGTTTCTGAAGGGCTTGGCTTCCCGCAAGCCTCTTGTGCTATGTGGGGATCTCAATGTGGCTCATGAAGAAATTGACCTTCGAAACCCCAAGGGAAACAAAAAGAATGCTGGCTTCACTCCACAAGAACGGCAAGGCTTCGGGGAACTGCTGCAGGCTGTGCCACTGGCTGACAGTTTCCGGCACCTCTACCCCAACACAGCCTATGCCTATACCTTTTGGACCTACATGATGAATGCTCGATCCAAAAACGTTGGTTGGCGCCTTGATTACTTTTTGGTGTCTCACTCTCTGTTACCTGCATTGTGTGACAGCAAGATCCGTTCCAAGGCCCTGGGCAGTGACCACTGTCCCATCACCCTATACCTAGCACTGTGATACCTCTCCTAAATCACTTTGAGCCTAGGAAGTAAGCCTCTAAAACTAGCTTTAAAACTCCTTGCCCCCGCCCCCACCTTCTGCCAAACTTCTTTAAAAATTGCTCTCTAAAAAATTCTGCACTGCATTTCCCTTCTAAAAATATGAATCCTTCAACCAGGCTCCTAGTGACAGGTTTCCTTTAAGCTCAAGGTATTTGTGTGTGTATGTGTGTGTGTGTGTGTTTTTTACATTCAACAAAAGCTACTGATGACTTCTTTTGAATTGTCCACGTGAAAATAAAGAGCCATAATTTCAACTTTGCTGTCTTTGTATTCTACCCTTCTGTGGGGCTACAAATTCCCCTCTTTTTTTGTACATACAGATTAACAACTGGAAAAGGGTAGTCACGACCTTATTTATTTACAAGCACAGGATGAATCCCTAACCTCCCCCACAACAGAGCAACCCTACCCAGCCCAGTTAAATACACTGGGGAGTAAGGTTGGAAGGAGGAATTAAGGGAAACACAGGACTAGGGGGACATTCCCCATATTAAATAGTTATATACATATCAGTTCCTGTGGTTCTGTACAGAGCAGCGGCTGACCCCACCCCCATAGGACATGGAATGGGGGGAGGAGACTGAGGGTACTGAGGCCAGAGCCAGCCCCTGGTGAAGTGCAATAGCAGCAGCAAGGTCCTAATGGTACACAAGAGGGAGGGAAACCCCCAGGGCTACCCACCCCCACCCTGCCCTGGAATGTGTAAGGGACAGGAATGGCTCTCAGGGAGCACATAGGAAGGACATGGCTAGAACCATCTTTTATGACCCAGGTTTAGGGGCAACATTTCACCTACCTCACCCTAAACATAGCAACTCTTGGAGGAAAGCAGGTGGCCAGGCCAACAGTGGCCTTTTCTACCCCTCCAAACCTAGGTGAGGGCCTGGTCCCTTCCTACCTCTCGCCAGGGAAAAGGAAGGCAGCTGCTTGGCTTCCCTTATAGAAGCCCAGGGAGCCTTTGATTATGGTTCCCTTTGTAGTGTCACTGTCCCCACCAGGAAGGGGCCAGGCACAGTCTGTGGGTGATCATGGGGCTCAGGAGAAGTTCTGGACAGGGTGGCTGACCTTCATACAGGCCCAATAGAAGGCCCGCCCCAAACACAGCACAGCCAACAGGATCACAAATGCCCAGGCTGCATAGATGCCTCCATATTGCTGTGCATGCTTCCATGTCCCAAACTGATGGAGAAAAAGAAAGATGAGGTTACTCTTGATCTCTCACCACTTTCTAGGATCCCTAGTAACAGTAATAAAAAATCCAAACTTCAGTCCCTGTTGCCTATCCATGTGTAGCCACCTTCAGGGACCTACTTAAAGGCCCAGTTCAGCTCCCTTCACTCTTAAGCAGGAAATTATTCTTACAATCCCAAACATGTCAGTTTTTCTTAATGTCTCACAATTGCACTAGGTTTTCTAAGAGCAACTCCTAATTTAAGCTATTTCTCTTCTGTCCTACCCTCTGCATAAAGAAGATGGCTGTTTTTTATTCCTATAAAACAATGAAAACTGTTTATCAATTACCTTTAACTTCATCTATACATTAAAACACAAAATAAAATCCCTTGATTTCTTTTACTTTTTTTAAGATACCTATTCCCAAATCTTAGTCTACAGAGATGAGACTGGAGAATGAAAGGGGCTGGATCATAGTTACTCACGGCAAGGCCAGTGGCAGTGACTGCCAAGAGTAAGCCAAGCAAGAAGCAGCAGATACACCTCTTTCGTGGATATCTGCGCCCAATAGATGACCTGTGGGAAGCAAACAGAAATGGATGCTTGCAATGGCTCTGTAATTTTTACTCTACACATTACCTGATTACCAGCTCAATGATGCCACTCTCTAATCACTTACACTTTCCTGCAGTGAGGGCAACGGGCCAAGGTTCGGTCTGTGAACTCCGTCCACTATGGAGAAAGATAAAAGGGAAAACCAATTAATAGTATAAGCAAGGTCATCTTCAATGAGAGTCCTGGGGCAGGGGAGGATGGGAAATGGGTCCTCATAGAACAGACCTGTTCAGGATTCATTATCATAAACTGGAAATATATTCACAATTCCTCTTGGGTTTGTTTGTTTGTTTGTTTGTTTGTTTGGCCAGGGTTTCCCAATACCCCTCCTCACCAGAAAAGTATTCTTGCAATGTCCACAGATGACCCTGACACCTACAGGTTGTTGTTCTGGACTCAGAGGTCCTGGGTGCACAGGCCCCAGGTTGATGATTCTTTTGCTGTACAAGGAAAAGACTATGTTTAAAAAGTTTTTAATCCTAAAGATCCCTACACTATCCCTCCTTCATACCCCCCACTCCCTGCCTAAGTTCCTCTACTTCTCTGTATGTTTAAGATACTCTGCTTAAACTATAGGTCTCTAATTTCCCTTTTATCTCAGGATAATTGAGTGTCCAAAACGCTCCATTCTAAAGGACACTAGTCCATCCTAATCTTTTTATTGACAGATGAGAAAGATGGCTGTAACATTCTAGAGGCACAATAGTTCTTAGCTTTTTCTCCTTCTAAGTAAGCACTGGCTCTCTCACCTTGACATTCTCTAAAATATTCATCTTCTTTTGGCTTTCCAAATTTCCCACTGATGCCTTTCCCACCTATGCCTCTTACCAGTAGGGTCGAGGGCAGGCAATCCGCTGGGAAGTTACTTTGCAGATAAGGAGACAGTTACAAGGGCATCGAACATATTTTTTCCCTGGGGGTGCATTCTTGATTGGCTAGAGAAAAACGAGGATATTGGTAAGCAAACGTCTATTCCCAATCCCTTTCATTTCCTCCAAAACACCTTCAGAGATCAGATAGATAAGGTCTTAGCCAGGACACAGAAATGAAAGAAAGGCATACAGCATGTGACTGAAAAATGAAAACTAGGCTTATGTGTTTGGTATAGGTATGAAGGTGACGGATGGTAAACATTAGCTTCTGGGGAAATGGCTGTGTGAGACTCCTGGAACTGAAACCTGCGTTTCATGAAGAGTGCTTGGCTGACGATCAAGGTCTAGAATCAAGGAATCAGAAAGAGGATCCAGGAAACAGGGCCCGTTTCATTGATATGCATAACTCACAGTGGCTTCATTGCAGACGCCACATTTGACTACATGCTGATGCATCTTGCCTTCCACGTTGATGAGAGACTGGCAGACTCGGCAGGTGATCATGGGAGCATTCCCACTGTCCGGGCTAGTCAAGGGTGAGTAGGGGGGTGGGTCCTCCCCAGGCAACACGGCTGGATGTCCCTCAGGGAATGGGGGAAATGCTGAAGAGGAAGGTAAAAAGGTCTGTCATCACTAGCAGTCACCCCCTCTGATGCTCCACGGGGTCATGGAACTCTTTCTGGTCCTCAACCCTCTGACCAAACTCGGCGAGCTTCTTATAATCCGTGCTTCGATCAGTTTCCTCAGAACCCCCCTTCCGTCCCCAAGCTACGGTCACAATTGCGGAAAGCAGGAAGCCTCACTCTGTCACAGGTGCAGAAGCTCTGCACCTGGAGCTTGGGCCCCGCCTCCGCCCGCGGCCCCGCCCCTCCCACCTCTCAGAGTACCCCCAGGGAACACCTCGGACCCGCCCGGGCTTACCCTGGGGCGGGGTATGTTTACCGGCTCCGTACGGTGGTGCGGAGGGGGTCAGGCCTCCCCCGGGCCCAGCCCCACTCCCGCCTGGTCCCACTAATCCATTGCCGCCAGCACCACCATCGATGGGCTCGGAGAGCAGCGGGGATCGCTCTCCATCGGCCGCCATGGCCGCCACCACCGCCTTCAGTTTCGGCCAAGGATCCCGTCGCCGCAGCCACTGCCACCGCCGCTACCGGGTCCCCAAGGCGCCTGCGCGCCTCGCGCCCAGCTCGCCCCGCAACCAGTGGCCTGCCCCGCCCCAATCCATCCCGCAGCACGTGATAGGATATCCCTGCCCCCGCGGGGCTATTATTCGTGGAGAGAAACCAATTCCTGTCCTGTGAAGGTAGCTCTTGATTTCCATTGGGGAGCGTCACAATAACGTCAACTGTCACATGACCTTCCGGAAGGCCGCTGGGCTTGCAAAAACTGCACGTGACGGGAGGTTCCGCAAACCATTGGAAGCGTAGTCCATCGCGCTACCTACAGACCAGGCGGTGGGGCCGGGCTGCCAGGCTAACTAGTCACGTGTTGCAGGAAGCCGGGCATTCTCTGGTATTCATCTAGAGCGGGCGCGTAATCATTGCTCCTTATTGGTCCAAAGACTACTAAAAGGTTTTTCTCCCTCTTTTGCGGTTAAAGTTGGCCTCCCATTGGCTGGAGTCTTCCTTTCCCTCATCCTGTGATCGTTGGGGTGCAACTTTATTGGCCCGAATTTAGCGCCAGAACTCGGAGGCGTGGCTCAAGGAGCCGGCAGTGAGAGAGTACCCGAGCTTGGGCAGTTCTGAGCAGTGGGAGGAGGAACCGTAGGCAGCCCTTAGACACTCAAAGAAATACATGTAAAAAGTCAAGAGAAAAGCTGCACTAAGGGGAAATGGATTAAAATATTAAGATTATTACCCTACTCTTTCTTCATGGAGTCTCTTCTGGAACAGGATATGAGACTGGCTTTTGCAGTCTCCATCCTACTCCTATCCCTGATTAGATTGTGAAATTACCTTTTAAGGAGATCTTAGCGTTTTACTCAATTTTGTGATCCCACACTCCCAAACACGTAAGCACAATAAATGGCTTTTGATTGAGTTAATCAAGTCCAAGGATATTTTTATCTCACCTTGTTTGTCAAATAAAACAGTCTTTAGACGTTCTAAAGACTCGACTTTACCCCCAGCCAGGAGACTGCAACGGAGGTTGCTCTGACAAGTATTGGAAAAGATCTTATTAAGCAGCTCAGGCATTTAAACATACAGCCAATCCACATACCCACTCTCCTGTTTATCCATATTCATCCATACTCATATTGTACAGCAGCCAAGACTACTTTTCAAACCTACTAAGGTGCTCTGCTAAGTAGGTACCCAGACAGAAATGAAATGTGTAGGTCCCCCCATCCCCCAGTTGAAAGGAACTCTTTGTTGGTAGTGAGATCATCTTGTTCCACTAAGTTTTTTGTTGTTTCAACTTTGTTGGGCGTTTCCGGGTAGAGCAGGGGCAATCAGTAGAGGTGAACGGGTCTTTGTTATGGAAAGAATAATTTAGGAGGATTTCTCTAAACGCAGGATGAGTAGGCTATTATTCTGGGATTAATGGTGGATGATAGAGTAAAAAGAACTCAACTTAGAGAATCTTCGTTTTAT